TTTACCACTGTTGAAAAATGGGAAACATTAACGAATGTATTTCTTACATTTAGTTAAATTTTATTTTATTTTTTTTAATTAGAGATTAAATTTATAAGTTGCTTTCTAGTGGTCTTTCGTAGCAATATAATGTGTTATTAGGAATAACTATTAAAAATCGGAAAATTTAAATTAATTCAATTTAAAAATATTACGTATTACGAAAAAAATTCTCGGTAAGATATATGAACTTACATAGAGAGGCAATTCTGCTTTCAATTTTTTAGTACCTCCATCAAAGATTAACGAATTTGTATTATTAAAGAAGAATTATGCACAGCGCTTGAAACACTCGAAAGAAAACATTTTGTTACTTAAAATTTCGATAGAACACGTTCTTTGCTTGCTACTGTTCATTTCTTATTATTATTAGAATATCACAGAAAGCTTCCCATATAATTCTGCTATAATTCACTCATCATTTACCCAAAAATAATGGAGCGCATGAAATTTTAAATAACACTAAAATAGCTTTCGTTATTGCGAAGAATATTTTTGTTTCTGCTTTTTCAATTCAATGTGAAACTATTTTTTTTAATATCTATAAATTAATATTCATTTCAGCCAGGAAGTAAAAAAATTAACACATCTTTTCTACGTTAGATTTAATGCTTTGATCATAGGAAGCCTTTGCTCAAATATATCATTATGTCTTTGTATCATACTTTATGCTGCATTGGGTAAGCATATAAATGCCGAACAAGCCTTTGTAGTTTGGACATCATTTGAAATGTTAAGGGCCGTTTTGACCTTTGATCTTCCTTTGGGATTTAATCTTTTGGCCGATATGATGGCAGCAACAAAAAGAATAACGAAATTTATGTACGCCGAAGAAGTCGGTGATTTTAAAACTTCAAAACAGAAGGAGCCGCTTATCAACTTGGAAAAGGTATCGGTCGATGCAGGTTTTGAAAAGACAATTTTAAAGGATATCACTTTAAGATTTAAATCGGGTTTAAATGTGGTAACAGGCTCAGTCGGATCTGGAAAATCTTTTCTATTAAAATTGTTACTGAACGAAATTTCGTCCAAAACGGGTGTTGTTGACGTTGTTGGTGAAGTGTCTTACGCTTCTCAAGATCCTTGGCTGTTCCCGGAAACAATAAAACAAAACATAATTTTTTATAAACCTTACGATGCAGATCGGTACCGAGAAGTTGTAAGAGTATGTGCATTGAGAAAAGATATTTCTATGCTCCCGGAAAGAGATTCCACGTTCCTGACTGATAAAGGTTTAAATCTCAGTAAAGGTCAGCAAGCTCGGGTGAACTTAGCGAGAGCAGTGTACCATGATGCAGACATTTATTTGTTCGATGACTCATTATCAGCAGTAGATGCTCACGTGAGTGGTTACATTTTTGACGAATGCATCAGAAAGTTTCTCAAAGATAAAATATGCGTTTTCGTTACTCAAAATCACAGTTTTTTAAAATTTGCCCAGCAAGTGATAGTACTGGATGACGGAAGAGTCGAGTACGCCGGATCTTTCGATGAAATGCCAAAAATTAATTTAACAATAAGCGACACTGTAGACGGCCAAATTGACGAAAATACCATAAACGATTCAAACAAAACCATTGAATCGAAAAAGCAGGAAATTAAAGAAAAGGAAGAAGAGTACGAAGACAGTGCTCTGTTAAACGTTTTTAATAGCATCGATAATATTCCAATTCCATCGACAGAACTTTACTATGAACTGCAAGCGGAAGGGAAAGTACCGTGGGAGGTGTACAAGAAATATTTCTTGTTCGGTGGTGGAATATTGATATTCATCGTCATATTTGTAACACACTTATCTGCACAAATAACTATGAGTTGGGCAGACACGTTTATTAGGGGATGGTAAGCTTAAATTTAAAATTTTCTTAAATTATGACTGAATAAAGCATGATAGCATATTTGACCTATTTTTAAAGCTTTTGCTAGACAGTAAACACTGCAGATTAAATGCGTTACGGTGGAATGAAGTGGAACTTTCCAACATTATTACGAACTTATTGTATGTTGTACGCAATCTTTGTCTATAATCTGAGAAGAGTAGTCTTATCGATAAAATAAAAACAACACTTTGTTGATTATCATTTTATTGACACAAGTGACAATAACCTTGTCGTTTTCAGACGATTCAAACGAGAATGTATAATTAATGAATACATTGAATAAATATGAGATTTTCGCTTAGTAATCTAATGAAATTATTATTTCAGTTTTTGTATGATTTAAAAATTTCTGGGGATTCCAAAATGTTAATTTACAATCATTGTTTATACGCGAATTATTTTGTACTTATTGTTTAATTAGTATAACTGTGTATTTTTGGAGAGAAAGTGAAAGAACTCAATGTACTGATGTACGAAAAATTTGAACAATATTAATAAGTAATGAATCTATTGCTTTCATTTTATCGACAAAATGATGAGCAAAATTGGTCTTCGTCTTGGTCTCAAGACTGCAAGAGTATCTTTATATTAGCAAGACCGAAAGAACAAGATCAACACTAAAACGAAGACCGAATATTCAAGACCAATTTCAAATGCGCAAGACTTAACGAAAAATTATTACTTCCGGTGGATTTATGAAAAACTATTTGTAGCAACTTTAATGTATTCTTTTCTTGGAACAAATCAATTCTTGTATTTGAAATTTTCAGTTTAATTTACCAGACTTTAACAATAAAAATATATATAAAAAAAGAAATTTTACCACTGTTGAAAAATGGGATCTACAAGAATGCTCTTGAAGTGCTCCTTGTTCCTATGTCTGGTTGAAATATAGAAACTAATTTTTTTTAAACTTTTTTCGTTAAAAGGTCAATTTAGGTGTTGGAGTAAGTTGTCGAGTTCCTTAATGTTCCTTAANTTTACCACTGTTGAAAAATGGGATCTACAAGAATGCTCTTGAAGTGCTCCTTGTTCCTATGTCTGGTTGAAATATAGAAACTAATTTTTTTTAAACTTTTTTCGTTAAAAGGTCAATTTAGGTGTTGGAGTAAGTTGTCGAGTTCCTTAATGTTCCTTAAAAGTCATGATAAGCTCGCATAAATAACAGAAAACTTCAGTATTTTAATTATTTAATTATTGTGACCAATACCAACACTGGGATAGTCTTGGTCTTAGTTTGCTCACCACTAAGATGAATTTGAATTGTATTAATTGTGCTTTTCTCTATTTTGTTTTAATTGCTGTAATGAATATTTGTTTTCAGGGTTAATATAGAACCAAAATTAGCAGAATTAGAAGCAAATAATCTCACGAATACAACAGAATTTGATGAATTATCCTATAAGCACACTTACATGTTAAACGAATTCGTTATTCTCATTTTGGGAGCAATTGCGACAAATCTAGCAAAACTATTTGTTTATTTCGCATACGTTGCAAATATTAGTCGTAACTTACACAACACAGTCATAACAAAAGTGCTAGCAGCACCTATGTCTTTTTTTGACGTGCATCTCCCCGGAAGTATATTAAATAAACTTTCGAGAGATCTAACTATTGTGGACGAACTGATTCCGTTTCATCTTGTGCATTGTATAGGGGTACGTTATTGCTAATTACTTTAATTTAGTTTTAACTTCAATAAATGAAAGCGCGAATAAAATATTCATAAATATTGTTTAACAACTATGATCCTACCCATAGCTTTTTTCATCATCATCATCATCATAAGGTCGTCGGTCCTAAGACTGGTTGGATACGCACCTCCTGAGTTAATCTTCGTATTTCCGTATATTATAGCTTTTTATTTATTTATTTTTTACTAGTGACCCGCCCCAGCTTCGCACGGGTGCAATGCTGATACTAAATATATTTTTGTTTTGTATAGATTACTATCGAAAAGGGGAAATCTTCAAAAGATACTCCCTGAGCATACTAAATATACTTACGAATGTCTTTATATACAACATTCACAGTTTTTTTTGTCATTAGACAATACAAACCGGCCTCCCGGCCGGTACCGCCGCAACCACTATGTCCCTGCATTTTAAGTCTGTAATATCATCGAAAATATTCATTTAAATTACATTCTGTAAAGGACCATATTGATCTATATTAAATGCACAATGTATTTAAGGTACTTAATTGGATAAGAATTAATGCTGTATTGCCTATAATCATGAGTCATTATTTCTCATAAAAAATAAAGGATAAAAATGGTTATTGTGGGTTATCCCTCAGAGATAGACATATACCATCCCGGACTTTTTTGTAGACCCGTTTAAGATGTACAATATTGTAGTACATTATTTTGATCTATCTCGTAGGGTTCAGCCAGCGTTTGCAATGTAAGCGCAAAAAATGTGTTTATTTACGACATGACATTAGAAATCTCTAAAATTATCAGTGTTTCCCTACTATATTATGCATGTATTATACATATAAACCTTCTTCTTGAATCACTCTATCTTTTAAATAAACTGCATCAAAATCCGTTGCGTAGTTTTAAACATTTAAGCATACATAGGGACAGACAGCGGGAAAGCGACTTTGTTTTATACTATGTAGTGATTTCAAATGATTTATACAAAATAAAACGTCGGCTTTTAATCTTCATCGCGTTCTTTTGTTTTTGGAAAGATTAAGAGCATAATTCCTTTAATAAGACTAAGGCAATAGTTGCATTACTAAGGCCTAGAAGGCAAAAGGGCCAAGAATATAATTTAAGCTAAATTTTTACTGTTTTTAGAGATCATTATTAAGAAAAATGTGTTATTAGTCGAAACTTGTTAAAGCTCTCCCACTAATTTAACTACAAGCAACACATACACAATTTAATAGCAAACTTAAAAAAAATAAGCTTTTCCCTTATGGATCCACCCTTTCTTGACAGAATCCCATCTTTACAAAAAAATAAATTTACAAAATATCTTATGTCTGCAACCATTGATTCCTTATTGCTTACGTACATGCTGTATCTTCAATTTCAATTTTGAATCTAAAATCTTCCTTGCCATGTATTTATTTTTAATTTAAATGCAATTTATGGTTCTACCCATATCTAAGGTTACTTATAATTCATTTTCTTTGACAAATCTATTTAGAAGAGGAAAACATTCGTAACTTATTTATTCAACACATTTTTTATCGTTAGCAAAGATATTTTGTTTCTCACTGTAGACATGGCTGTGGTTCTTCCCTGCAAGGTCTTGCTGATTATATTGAGTTTATCAATATATCGATCAAATAAGCCAAGATCATTATCCATTTCCCCTCATGCAATAGTTCGATACGACTGACAGACAAACTTTTCCTCTCGACAACCTTTCTACTTTCGAATATAAAAGAATCGGTTGATGCTATTTTTTTATATTATCACACGCTATTTTAAAAGATAACAATAGCTCCATTTGAAAATTGTGGTAAATATCTCAATAAAATCATGTCAGACTGCTTTGCGTGATTGGATAGGGCCTATATGATCATCATGATCATAAGATCATTAGTCCTAAGACTGGCTTGATACGCACCTCCACTCTTTCTTATCTTTCTGACTAAACCTTACTGCCTGAGAAGGTGTCCTACCAGCCTATATCTTCCATTTTTTATTGACTTCTATAGAGACCTCTCATTCCTAATCTTCTCTATTCACGGTATCCTCATCATTCGCCGATAACACCACATTTCGAACGCTTCTAATCTTTTCCCCATCGTCCATGTTTCGCAACTGTAGCTCCGCGCTCCAAACATACACCTTCAACAATCTTTTCCGAATTTCTAAATTAATCGTTCGCGAGCATAGAAGAGCATTGAACGCGACTCGACCCTGCGTTATCCTCTGCTTTATATCCCTACTACTCTTTCCATCCTGACTTCCTAGATGCTTAAAATAGCTTCTTCTAATCCTTCGTCTCCTATCTTTATATTCTCATTAGTACTCTTCTGATTTTTAAATAAATGTTGTTTGTAATTTATTACTATAATGTAGTTCATGACCCTGATTTCGCCAATTAAAAATCAATTCAATTAGAAGGTAATTATTAGTTTTTTTTTACAGGTGACTATAGGTATTGTTGGTGTTGCAGTAATTATTACAACTATAAACTGGAGATTCTTATTACCTTCGGCAGTTTTATTCGTTTTTCTATATTTCATGAGGTCGTTATATTTAAAAGCAGGAAGAGGTGTTCAGAGATTAGAAGGAGCAAGTAAGATTTAATATACGTATATGGTTTGATGCACAAATAATTTTTTGATTTTGATACCGCCGAAGTAAAATTTAAAAAAGCCAGTAAAGGGGTGTTTTTAGAATTAATTTAAAAAATTGTGAAACGAAAGAGTGAAATAACAATCGAAGCATTATTTTTATCGCTTTTATTTTAACAAGTTGTGCTACTATAACTTTGGCAATTGTCAAGCGATTCACAACACATAAAAATTGAAACGACAAAAAACAAAGTGTTTCAACAGCTAAAACAATCCAATATTCCTAAAAAGAAATTTTAAATTTTCAAAGGACCCCGCTAGATCCTTATGGGAAATAGCCCTCTGTCAAACATTCTGAATCTATGGACGCTTCACTTGTCGTAAAAATTCCTCTTTTTCAGAAATGGTTGCATAAAGTTTTCGTAAGGACTTCCAAGATATAATTATACCTATTATACGTATTAAATAGGTTCAAGAATACATATATCATTTGCATATACTTGGTCATTATTATATCTAAGTGCATTACATATTATGCATGTGTCATGGTTTCGGACGAGAGATGATCTCTGCAAAACTGTAGTAGGTACGCCTCAACGTCATGGTGTACTCATGGGGAAAGTGTACTACACTTTTGCAGAGTTACTATTCCTACTCTGAAACTATGACACATCCATAATATATGAATATATGTATACTTATCATATATCATATCTTAAAAAGATGAATTTTTACGACTTCAGACATTATAAGGTTCAAAATGTGGTGTTAGAAAGAATAGGAGAACAGAAGATTATGGAAGTCAATAAGAAATAGACGAGATAGGTTGGTAGGACACCTTCTCAGGCGGGAAGGTCTAGTCAGAAACATATTAGAGGCAGAAACGGGAGTTAGGAGGGGTAGAGCTAGGCCTAGATTAGATTACTGTTCGCAAATAGTTAAGGATAAGGATTGTTCTAGTTTTGGGGAAATGCTGAGTTTGGCTCAGGATACGAAAGAGTGGAGGTGCGTGTCCAACTAGTCTTAGCATTGACCACTTTATGATGATGATGAAAATTAGATTAACAGGTCGAGAAGTACCAGAATCCAAAGTTTAAGAGTTTGGCAGAGCTATTTTCCGCAAGGATCTAGTAGGATCCTTTGTTTCAAAACCTTCGTAAATAGTTGATTGAAATTAAGACGAAACTTGTGCAATGTACCACTGTCTCGTCACATTAGTTTTCACACCATAACAAACCCATGAAACTTAAAATTTTACTGAAAAACGTCATTAAGCATTTCTAATAGTTTAATTGTAAATGTAAAAACGTTGTAAAGTTTAGGAAACTAATAAAATCTTCAATATTCACATTTTAGCAAGAAATTCAGTTGTTGGTCATGTGAACGCTTCAATGGAAGGTCTTCTAACAATACGATCCAACAAAGCTCAAAATTGTATGAAGAATGTTTTTGATGAACGACAGGATATTTACAATTCGGCGACGTATATGGGTCTTGCGACTTCAAGAGCCTTAGGCTTATTTGCAGATTTAACAGGGTTTTTGTTCTTATCAACGATTATCTGTTATTTTTTCTTTTTTGCAAAGGGTAAGTTTATCAACATCATTATCACATCACTACGTCACTTCCCTGTACAATATGGTTCTAACGTAGGTATTAGGCTTGTAATAATAATTAATATGTCAGATATTACAACATTCTACAAGTAGATAACTATTTGAATGTTTAATAAATTGCCGGAACTGTGACTTATTAGGATTATTTACTATATCGAAAATGCTGTTGGAATTTTGAATTAAAAGTTGTTGAAGATCAACATTCAGTCGTCGTAGGGTAACAGATAGGTTGTGGTGGTGGTTGTGGCACTAGATTAAAATTCTAATACGCTATGGAGGGTTCAGGTTGGATTATAGTGAGAGTGGATTCCCTAATTAAATTGCGCAAAGCGAGATGTTAGATTATGGTGGAAAAAGTTCCACACTGTCGCTTTAAGTTACACTATGGTGCAAGAGCATTCATTTATTTTCATGTTTGTAGTAAATTAAGTGTTGCTTTCGTCTTTTAATATGTAAACAACACGATGTGAGTTTTTCGTGAGATGTTTTTTTGGTCTTTAAAATGTTTTTTCGGAGAAATGAGATTGCCAGAAATGTGTGGTATTAATAAGTGGGTAAGCATTAGAGTACGTTCGCACTAATGGTGACAGGATAGGTTGTCCGCTATGATAGGTGCTATGCTAGGACATACTACTGTGCACATCGGAAGCTATATAGTCCAGGATCCCTGGTACATTTTTGCACTTGATTATTATCAAGCTAATTTTCCGTGAGTAGCTTCATTTTGATGAGACGCCCAACAACTTCTTGTAAGAAACTTTGATACGCAATTTGTAGGACAATGTGACTATTAAATTATATAAATATTAACTAAGTAAAACAAAATCAGCTGGTTAGTGATGACCTCGTTATCGGTACATGCTGGAAAGAGGGGACTCTTTGATCAAACCATAGATTTTGTAGGACAAATATTTTTTCGAATAATTAAGATAATTATCTTGAGATTAAACAAAAAAACCCAGTTAGTAATAAATTTTTGAGAATCATCAAACCAACATATTTTATCCTTGCTACCTGTGTTACCTACCACAATCAAAGTTTCTTACAAGAAGTTGTTGAGCGTCTCATCAAAATGAAGCTACTCACGGAAAATTAGCTTGATAGTAATCAAGTGCAAAAATGTACCAGGGATCCTGGACTATTTATGCCGTTAAGAAAAAGAAAAATACTGACGTCAGTACTGACGAAATAAGGTTATTTTTGGCATTACACTTTTAAGTGGATACGCTCCTCTGTCTAGAAAGTATTGAGAAACGGTAACTGACACCCACAAAGAAATAGTTTCCAGAGCGATGTCAATAGATAGGTCTTAATACATAATATCCAATCTTCATTGTTGCAGTAACGACAATTTGGACAAGTCAAATAAATTCGTCAAAATTCGACCATTCTTCAATGCCATAACCAAGAAATTTTTAGAATTCTCAAATCCAACTGAAAACCACAGTATAGATGAATGCATGGTCCCCTATTTTGGCAAACAGGGATGAAAACAGTGTATCCTGAATAAACCTGTTAGATTTGGATATACAATGCGGATGGGTTGTACACGTGACGGTTACATAATTTGGGTAGAGCCTTATCAAGGTTCCAAGTAAGTAGTAAAAAGTGCGATTTTGTTTTGAGTCTATCAGTATAGTTTTGGAATATGCCGACGTAATGACCTCTGCTGCTAAATTATCGTATCACTTATTTTTAGAGAACTTTTTTACCACAATAACACTAATAGAAACTCTCACACAGAGGTATACGTGGCACTTAAACAAGCCGGGAGAATCGAAGCGCAAACTGTTCAATAAGCAACAAAAATTAAATGAAAAAAAAAAAGAAATAACGAAATGGTGTGATAACAAAGTTGTGTCTATTGCTTCAAATGCCATCCCCTTAAATGAACCCACAAACTGTTCAAAGGTACAATCGAAAGAAGAAGAAAAAAATTACTGTCAGGCAGCCGCATAATATTTACATAAGTGGGGTCGGCCGTTGCCATCAAAATGTTAGTCTGTACAGAACAAGAATAAGAGGGAAAAACTGGTATAGTTGGGACGATCAAAATTGCTATCTTCTTCCTTGTTTCCACTTGAGACTGTACTCATTTTAACCTGACTATTCCTATTGTTTCCCCTTAACCCTTATTTTCAATGAGCTCTTTTTGGTTGTTATGATACTTCATTAATTGTTCTGATATCTGCTGCCTATCCTCACCTTTTGATCGTGTATCTATCTGTAATATGGGGAATTATGCCTTTTATTATATTTCTTTTCAGCATGTTCCTCTATGTATTTTTAGTATTTAATTAATTTTATATTAATAGAATGGAAAATCACAATTCATTCCGCTGAGTAGAAACGCGTACGAGCTACAGACCAACCTCAGAGCAATAATGACTTGGAGTATCACTCCCATAGCACCTTTCCATGACAATAAACGCAGCGTGCGTCCCAAACGACATGCTATACGTCTACATAGGCAACGGTGGAGGTAAGACACACATAGCGAAAACAACACGCAAAGCTCAAGATTTAGACAACGTGTGGCTCAATACGGATGGGTCCATAAGGGAAAGAGCCGATGCGGCCTGGAACAAGAGCTGCTACGAGCCTTTCAGTAGGGTCATGCAGCAACTAGTGTACACAGCAATTCAAAGGTCACCAGTACTGCTAGGAGAGGTACTGCCGTACTTGATCCTTAAAGCGGGTGAGCAGTGTGGCGTGTGCTTAGAGCTAATAATGCACGAGGGTGCCCTACCCCAGGGTAGGGGGTAAGAAGGCAGCGACTTTTGAACAGGCCAGACTGGACCAGGGAATGAGTGAAACGGCGGATATCGAGATCAAACGTGGACTATATCGAAGCTAGGGGTCAAATAATTCACGAGCTGCGGCTGCCTGGTTCACTATATCAACAAATTTTGTGTATGACTACAGCGGGGCGCTCTTGCGGAATAATGTCAACCATCAAACAAGCATGCACACCGACAGGTTTGGATTTGAAGCATTGGTGGAACCAGATGACACCTACTCTCGCAAAGTGTCAAGAGCGTCTGTAGCGAAGAACGATGCACTACTTAAGCATCTACCGCCACGCATCAAGAATGAGATGGTGAAACTCTGCCTCGGAAACACAATTGGGGAAGCAGCCAAAGTTAGGAGACAACGGCAAGCGAAAGTCTGGGCTGGAAAGTACTAGGAACTAGCCAACTCGGCAAATACGTTACCCCGGAACAGTAGGGGAAATACACTGACACCACTGCCCAGTTCATTCCACTGAACGGCAATGCCTATGAGCTACAGACGAATTTGCGTGTAATCATGACGTGGAGCATCACGCCAATAGTCCCGTTCCATGGCAACTGTCAGAATGTCTGACTCAACGAGATGCTTTACGTGTATGTATATTGGAAACGGGGGCGGCTACACACATTGAAAAGACCACCCGCCGAGAGCAGGATCTGGCTGAATACACATGGGTAAATCAAGAAGCGGGCGTTTGGGGCTTTGCTTAAACCATTCAGCCGCGTGATGCAACAACTGGTACTAACTGCAATTTAGAGGTCACCTATGCTCATGACCACATCGCACCTAGCCTAATCATCAAGGCGGGGGAGCATGTATGATTCTGGGGAAACACTTTGTCGCGAGCGGCTAGGCAAACGAACCGACTGGACAGCAGATCATGTAGCGCTAAGAATCGCCCGATCAAACGAGGGGTATGCAGAAGCAGCAAGGATGGGCGTACGGACATTTGCGAGTGTATGCGGTCTAGCTTATCTCCAATCAGCTAAATCCAAGAACCACTGGCTGAGTTTATCACAGACAAATTTTTTGGTTCTTTGCCTTAGCAAAGTGCGCCCGAGTTTTGTTTAATTTATGAGTATTTTCCATTAACAAGAAACACCACGTTGCGTTTTTCCTTGGAATGCTACAATTCGGTCAACACATGGATACATGTGATTGATAAACGCATTGCTGTCACCAAGCACTCAAGATTTGTATATGACCTAATTAGCTGGTACGAAGTATGTGGAGATGACGAGGACACGGCATCCTTATCACAAGCGCAGGCTGTGTTTTACACGCAGTAGCGATTAGGGCAGACGGCCACGCTCTTAACCCGGTTAAGCAGGTTGCAGGTAGAACAACCCACAAGTTCTTACAATTCGCCTTTTCGCGCACCGTGGGAATCGAAAAACCGCTATTCACGTTTCTAGCAACACCAGCAATAGGCAACTGGTATGTGCAGAAAGGATTCTGGATACAAAGCGCAATCAGTAGCGTGTTCTCAAACTACTCAGAACTATATCTGCGGAGGGCACCACTGCACGTTGCGCGCAGACTTGCAGCTACGACACTCAATCGCCTCATGCGTCTTAAGCTTGAGAACGGTACGGAGAAGCAACTTAAAAGGCGGCGATTCCGTTTCAGTAAGAGACTACCACCACTGTTCGAGATGCTAGAGGAAGACGAGGCCATAGAGATGATACCTGGTTTCGCAAAGCGTCAAGAGCGTATGTAGCGAAGAACCATGTACTACTTAAGTATCTGCCGCCACCCATCAAGAATGAGGTGGTGGAATTCTACCTTGGAAACACGATTGGGGCAGCAGCCAAAATTAGCCCGCAACATCTGGGCTGCAAAGTACTGGCCTGCCGGACTGAAGAATGGGGTCAAACAGAAATGGAGACGCGCTGACCGGCGAGTCCCCACCCGGAATGCGGTCCACTTAGCAGATCTGAGGGGGGGACGCACATTGCAAATACTGTATGTATTTTTAGTATTTAATTAATTTTATATTAGCTACAGACCAACCTCAAAGCAATAATGACTTGGAGTATAGTATAAGGGAAAGAGCCGATGCGGCCTCGAACAAGAGCTGCTTCGAGCCTTTAAGTAGGGTCATGCAACAACTTGTACACACAGCAATTCAAAGGTCACCAGTATTGCTCGGACAGGTATTACCGGAGTTCATTCTTTAAGCCGGTAACCAGTGGCGTGCGCATAGAGCTGGCAATGTAAGCCTCAGGAAGGGGGTAAGGAGGCAGCAACAAAGGACAAGCTAGACCAGGGAAAGAATTGAATG